AAATTGTAGCAACAACAAAGAAGTCTGAATTTGTCTTCCAGCCCGAGCACTGTTCAGTATTCGGCCTATATCTGGAGTTCTAGAAGTCCAAATGAGCTGAATTTATTACACAAGAAAGCTGAGAAAATTTCCTACAACTTTCATGTTTTCAAGTGGCTCCAATTTTGACTTTATCAATGACGTTTTAGGCAGCCAATAGAATATAAAGATTGTCACCAAGTCAAGAGTTGGTCACCCACTTATTAATTAGTCATCAAATCAATAGTTTCCAATTTTGGCTTATAAAAGGAGGCATTTGCCATGCATTTAGGCATCTTGATGTCCAGATCAAGATCATACTCTTGCTTTCTCTCTTTGTATTTTTTGTAATGTTTATGCTTTGTTTTCATTAATATCAAGTTTATGCCTTTCATTTCCTTTCCTTTACTTAGTTAACTTTTATCTTATTTATGTTCTTATTTTTTTTATTTTTTTTCTTTCATTGTGTCTAGCTAAGTTTATTATATCAAGGTAAAAAGGTTACACTAGTGGTGTAAGAATAAGTATAGTATAGACTTAATATGGACTTTAATGTTTGATACTAACATGTTTTATATTTGTTATCTTGTTCACTCTTTAATACTTTGCTTATTAAATGACTAATCTTGATTTATGTTGTATAACACTTGACACAACAAATGCTTGGCACTTTCATAGCCCATATTATATGGTGTAACCGACACCTGAGCTATGAAAGGAACTTGATTTGTTGTTAACATAAGGTATAATCATGAATGCTTGACGAAATTTACAAGTATTAGCATTAATTGAATAAGATATTAAATCTTTTGAATTATTAAATATATTTATTAAAGCTAGTTTCTATTTTTGGATATATCCCGTCATCGTAAACTTAGTGTCTATTTGAAAATTTGCTGCTTTCTAGAAAATATTAAATTAATATATTTTTTGATATTTTTGGATATTTTAATATATAAATATTAAAAATAATTTTTTTATAAAAATCATTTCCTCAATATATTTTAAATTGATAAATATTTTTTACAAACAACCCATTAAATTACCGAACACATTACATATGCAACGAATGATGTAATAAAATCTAGCGTCATCCAAGAACCCGTGGTCGCAGGACACAGTTTAGTTTAAAAACCCAAACAAAAATCAATCTCGCTCTCGGTGATACAGTAATAAGAGCAAGTCGGCTCCGAGTCCTTTCTTATTTATGCCTGTAGTCAGTGTGAGTCCGCATGGCGATCTGATCCTGACGTCGTGGCGCCCTATCGGTTTTTATCTTGAAAGCTGACAATTCGGGCGTCTCTCTACATAAAAAGCCTCATTTTATGCTTCTTTCTGAAGACCAAATCTTTCTGTTCAACCAGCTCTCGTCTGCTCTCCACGATATACAATTCCCTTTTCCTTCCTTCGCCGGGTAAAAATTCTCCCCTCTTCCAGTCCAACACCTGTTTGTACACTTGCTGCACATCTGGTTCAAATTTTCTTGCCTTGGATTAGCGAGCATTTCCCTCTTTTGATCCTGGATTGTCCATCCTTTCATGTTTCCTTTATCTTTTCCTATCTATCTTCTTTCTCCATTCTCGTTGCATGTGCTATCTCACACTGGCTAGCTAGCTTCTCCCATGCTGCTCTAAATCATCAAGCTAAGGTAATAAAGTGGTTTTTGTTGCCCCGTTTGCCCTCTGCATGTCCTGCTTTTTTCGTCTCCCTGTTTTATTCTTTGCTGTCTATCTATTCATGCTCTGTTTTTCATCATCTTCTAGCTACTGATTTTGAGCTGTGATTATTTATGCTTCTGCATTCAAGGATGGATATTTATTTAAATGTTTTCTTTTTTGTTATTTTTTCCTTTCATGATGATTGAAGGCTTTTTTACAGTGATTTTGTTGAAATCAGGGCTGCTTCTGATTGCTGTTTCCCCTCCTGGTATAGATGTTTTACCTTGAACTGTTTTGTCAGCAAGTAATTGGTGGGTTGGTTTGTTAAATGTTAAAGATGAAATTTATGCTTCTAGTAGATACATGGATTCGGATAAGGTCTTTGAATTTATGTTAATTGTTTCTTTTTCAGCTCTCTACTTTTCCGATTATAGGTGATGAAATATGATGTTTGCATTTAACTGCTGCACCGAATTTGAGAGTAAACTTGCTCCACTTAAGTTCCCCCCCAAACTGTGGTGGCGTTTGCATTAATGAGCTTGCTTCCAGGCGCGGATTATTATAATCTTTTATTCACTATAATAGTTCATGTTCGGTAATTTTTGAATCAACTAATGTTGTTTATATGTGATCCAGGTAATTAATGATCAAATTCAACAACAGTGGAAGTCACAGCAGACTCAGGCTTCCTAGGTTTTATGGCCTTGACTGGTACGTATAAAAAGATATACACACATTCAAATTTTGATTCCACGGATGAGTGCTGTGTTTTTAGTATTAATTATTGTTTTTCTCCTCTTCACCTGGAGGGATTTGTGCAATTTGTGAGAGAAGAGACTATTTTAGATTTTAGAGGCATACAAAATACTCTACATAAGAGAACTGAGAGAAACTACTACAAGAGAACTTTTGGTATGGAATCAAACTGGACAAAATACAGGAAACCCTTGGCATTTACCGATCAAGTGATTCGATCTGCAACTTCTTTTATGGCTTGGTCCCTTAAAATCCCTATAAGTGATAGCCGTCATGGATTTCTTTGATCAAGTATTCATTGTTTACAAGGTCCTGAAAGATTCTACGGAGATATAATGAATTACAAGAATCGTCTCCATCTCGATTCATTTATAGAAAATGCCTGGTTTTGCGAGTAAGAAGGGATTCTTAGACACAAGCATGTCTTTCTTCACTTTGATCACACAAGATAATCCTCCAGTGCATTCAAAGAGCAACCCTGTAGTAGATTCAAGGGTTGCTCATGATATTGATGGTCTCATTGTACCTGGATTGCCCGATGATGTGGCGAAGTATTGCCTTGCACTTGTTCCTCGCCGCTACCTCCCAGCTATAGGTGCTGTTTGCAAGAAATGGAGGTCATTTCTTAGAAGCCAAGAGTTCATCACTGTGCGAAAATTAGCTGGCTTGCTTGAGGAATGGCTATATGTCTTAACTATGGATTCTGAAAGAAAAGAAAGCCACTGGGTGGTTTTGGACCGTTTGGGACACAAACGCCAGCTTCTTCCACCAATGCCTGGTCCTACAAAGGCTGGGTTTGGGGTTGTTGTTCTAAACGGAAAGCTTCTTGTTATGGCTGGTCATTCATTGATTGATGGGACCGGCACTGCATCAGCAGATGTTTATGAATATGATTGCTGCCTCAACAGGTTTGTTTTCTGTCAATCATGGGTCTCTCTCTCTCACTCAAAATTATTATCAAATCCATTTGGATTTCTCTTGAGACTGATATCTCAGCCTAGTGGATATACTGCTAGTTAGTAGGAAAACCTTTTTGTTCCATAGTTCTAAGATCTTAAATTAGGTGGATTCATGAAATGTTTTGCTCACTAGGAAATTCATTTGAAGTCTATAGTCATTTCTGTGATCTTGAGAACCGGGACTTTCCACACACTCGCATACACAGAGGTATCAACAGGGTCAGTGATTTTATTGATATTTGAAGAAACTGCCATTTCAAATCCAACAAAACACTTGCACAATTTACAGAACCCTTTGCATGTGGTTGCAAATGAGGTACTTCACTGATTGACTGGCCTTCCTTATCAGGTTGTTCTAATTAAAGTAACTGTAGAGCTAGAACGCAACAAAGAAGTTGATAATTCATGTCAGGGTTAAGGGCCTGGCATATATTAAATTTGATTCCAAACACTGCTACAGGCAAAGAATTTCATTTTTGGGCCTCCTCTGCAGACTTAAGTCTGAGATTTACCCCGTAATGTGGTCAGGGTCAGGGCGGTTGGCATTTACCTGGTGGGCCAGATGGCCTGGTACCTTCTTTTGCAGTGTTTTGTTTTTGTCTATACCTGATTTTTATAATGCAGTAACTTCCTATTGTTGAATTCTTCATCAGAACACTTTCTTTGTCATTACAGTTGGACTAAATTGTCAAGAATGAATGTTGCCCGGTATGATTTTGCCTGTGCAGAGGTTAACGGCAAGGTTTATGCTGCTGGGGGATATGGAATGGATGGAGATAGTCTCTCCAGTGTTGAGATGTATGATCCTGACACTAACACATGGACCATGATAGAGAGTCTTCGCCGCCCAAGATGGGGTTGCTTTGCCTGTGGCTTTGAGGGCAAGCTTTATGTCATGGGAGGAAGGTCAACCTTCAGCATAGGCAATTCAAGGTCTGTGGACGTGTATACTCCAGAAAGGCACAGCTGGTGTGAGATTAAGAATGGTTGTGTGATGGTTACTGCCCATGCTGTTCTGGGAAAGAAACTCTTCTGTATGGAGTGGAAGAACCAGCGGAAACTAGCAATATTCAATCCAGAGGATAGTTCTTGGAAAACGGTAGCTGTTCCATTGACAGGGAGCACAAGTATTGGTTTCCGTTTTGGAATCCTTGATGGGAAACTTCTGTTGTTCTCTCTACGGGAAGAGCCAGGCTATCGAACTCTGCTGTATGATCCTGATGCTTCTCCAGGTTCCGAATGGTGTACTTCTGAGATAAAGCCTTCTGGATGCTGCTTGTGCAGCGTTACCATAAAGGCATGAAATGATGCTCTTACACGGATTGATCTGTTCGTTTATAGTCCTCTTGTATATGCCTCATGTTTCTCCGTTTTAATTACACATGTAGGGTTGTAGAGCTGCTAGCCCTCCACAGTCCACACCCAGTTCAAATCTTGACTGCCAAGGGCAACCAAGCAGCCTGTAGGCCCTGTACGCTTCAGTTCAGAAGTTAAAAGTAGATAATAATATTAATATCGATGTTTTATTCACTATCTATTAAATTAAAAAAATAAATTATATATATTTACACGTATATATCAATCAAAAATATATTTAACTTGGATTTTTCAATAAAACACTGATCACAAATTATTATGAATTTTAAATAAAAAGATTTCGATATCCAATGATCGAGCTACAAGTACTCCCATTACAGGGCGCCATCTATTTAAAATTCACAAAATCAATAAAAAACTACTTCACTCCAACAACAACGACACAGCAACAATGTTCGGCACTCCATCTTCCACCCCCGCCTTCGGCACGCCGTCTTCCACCCCGCCATCCGGAACCCCCTCTTCTACTCCCTTATTCGGCACTCCTTCAACGCCAGCTTTCGCTGCTGGAGGATTCGGTTCATCTTTATTCTCTACTCCGCTTGCTTCTCAAACTCAGCAGCAGCAGCAAACCTCGCTTTTTCAGCAACCGTCTACTACTGGTTTCGGATTTCAACAGCAACAGAAACAGAATCCGTTCGCTACGCCGCTTCAAACGACACCGTTCCCTTCTCCCCCTCCTCCTCCTCATTTGAGTACTCAGATGGCATTCGTTGCTCCTCTTCTTTTCTCTCTCGCCGATCGCGACATTCAGGTTTGTTTCCCCCATTTTCTTGGCTTGAACCCTAATCAAGGTCATTTTTTATTTAATATGTAGATAAAACTCCGAGTCTTGATTGCAGGCGATTGTGGATGCTTATAAAGAGGACCCTGGGAACCTTAAGTATGCTTTCAAGGTTCATTTTATTGCCTCGCTTTTCTTTTTCTCTTCCTTTTTAATTTTTTTTTGACGACTGTGTGTGTTTGGCTGCATAAAAAGAAAAAAAATTGTTTCTTAGGTGTAGAATTCTGTGGTGTTTTGTTTTCTTGAATTTGAGTTGATAATTTTCTTGATTTTTCTTGCTGTTTGAAAATGGTTTGATTAATGAATTAGGGTTTTGGAGCTGACATGGCAGTTGTGTCGGTCATTTGTGTTTGACAGTATTTGTTGTTAAGTGTAACTGACCCGCAGCATAGAGGGAAGCTTGCTGGTGTATCAGACGTGAGTCTACCACTTCACTTTTAGTTTATTTTTATCGCTACTTTGTTATCTGTTTTTGTTTGTATTGTCTTTGAGTTTGTTTTTGGCTAATTTTGGTGAATAGTCTGCTTTTGCTAGATCATGTGGGCGGAGTCTATGGCGAAGCTAGAGGGTATGGAAGGTCCAGATAGAGAACGCCTCTGGCCTCAGCTTGTTCAAGGTTTCAAAGATCTTTCACACCGCCTCAAGGTAGTTGTTCTGATTTGAGGCATTGATGTGTGTTATGAATGGGCTATCTAGCAGTTTGTTTTGTAAGTGATTAGCAGCTGGCCATCCACTTCTTTAAGATTTATAAGTATCAAAATTGAAGGAGTTTTGCAAGTTAGAGGTTAGAGGGTCATGTCTTTTAGACTTTTTTGCCTTCCTTAACGTGGTTAGTGATAGTTATAATTTGATATGCTCTACCAAGATTTTCCTATTAAGAATATGCTATGTATTTCATGGAGCTCCTTTGTCCTTTGTGACTTGAAGAGGATTTTGAGTTCAAATAATGTAAAAGTTGGTTTAAGGTTCTTGATTGGTTTCTACCTACCAATAGTCTAATTCATGGATCATCATTTTAAGGACTGTTAGTGCGAGGTCATGCATTTATATATCAAGAATGTGTAGTCTAATTCATGCTGGATTAGGTGGCCTACATTTCTCCACTGCAGATTGCAATTCCTTGTAAAAGGCAAATGCAACTGAAAACATTTAAGGTTTTATCTTGGAAGGTTTTGTGCTTTGTGCACTTTTCCTTGCAATCAGATTTTTCTGCTAATGGACTGTGCTAACTGAATTTTCTGACATTGTAATGCTTTTTGCTAATTTGATGCAGCTCCAAGATGAAGTAATTGTTTCAGATGCAGAGAGATTGCAAATGACCCAAATCAACATAAAAATGGTACTGTCTGCCTGCTTTCCACTTGACACGCCATATTTTCTGGATACTGTTTTGACATGCTAGTATTCTTTTCAGCTTCAAAGGCATTTTCAAGCTGTGGCTCTTCCAAGGATTGAAAGAATGAGACGGAAAGAGCGAAGTCTTCAGAGGCATCTTTTAAGGGTGAGAACAAGTGCTCTCTCTCCACTTTCTGAATCACAAAATTAAATTTATTTTTTCCATGTGGTTTGTATTGTTGTCATTTTCTGAATAGTCAACAACATAGACGGTGCACAGTAGTGAGATAAGCTTTCAGAATTTGAAATTCCATTTTAGCTTTTACATTCAATGAGAGAATGCATTTTGGTATATTTTCACTATTTTCATTTCAACCCTGAGTTCTGTGCATAAAATAGTTGCATGACACCTGTATATCAAAGTGAGTATGCACTAGACAAGACAAATTTAGGAAAGGTTAAGGTTTTTTTCTTTCCCTAGATTCATTGGAGCAGGCTGTTTGGTGAACTTTTTTTATTTTTTGCTTTAGACACTATTTGTTTCCTTGAACTGCCCTTTTATCCATAATCTTCTTAAGAAATCCTATTGATTTGGATGCACAACTCCATGCCACTGTTATGTCCACAAGTTTTATGTGAATTGGTAGACGATTAACATTGCATTGATAGTTGCTACAAGATTTAAAATGTCAAGTGAATTGTAACTTAGTCCATGTAGTTTAATGAAATTAAATAATTGGTCCTTGAGGTTTCAAAAAGTATTGTTTGATCCTTATGTTTTTAAATCCATAAATAACTTAGTCCTCAGTCAATTCAACCTTCTTCTTTTTCCCGTAAAATTTCATTTTTTTTCCTTTTTTTGAAAAATAGAAAAAAGAATATAGATGAGATTAGAAAATTTGATTGGAAAAGAGTGTATTGTTGGAACAAAAAACTATTAAATAGACGATGTTCAACTTTGGTTATTTTTTATACTGAAGGGAATTAGTTCCAATAAACTACAGGGACTAAGTTATATTTAATTCAAAATTGTTCAAATTGAAAAGACAAGGTCCAAAGTAATATTTTAATCCAACTGTGAGTTCATAATGCCTGTTTCTGCTCCAGAGCATTACTGTATAGGAAATTTATGCATTCAGTTCTCGATAACTTGTTCTAACATCTACTTTCTCCTATCATATGCTTTAAGGTGATGAGAATAATGGAGGCATTGGAGGGTAAGGGTTTCCGATTGCCCTTAACAAAAGCGGAAGCTGAGTTGGCTGAGAAGTCAGCTGCAATAATTAGACAGGTATGTCTTTCCTGTCCTCTCTCTCATCTGTACACTATTCATTATCACTTAACCTGCATCAGGGGATGATATTAACGAGTAGATGCCATTTCAGCTAAAAGGATCTGGTGCAGAACTTTCTAGGAGGGTTCAAAACCTACTCACTGTATCTCGTGTTCAAGAAAATGGAATTGGTGCTGGAGGTTCTCTTTATATTCCAGGATCAACCAAAATACATGAACAAAGTCTTGCCGATATGCAGGAGGTAAGAGGGGGACAAGTGAGAATTCATGTGGGGATATAGATGTTACTTTATTAGTTATGATCCTTCTTGCTAAGCTCGTTGTTTCTTTCTCTTTACCCAGTGATGCGTGAACAACATGATAAAGTAACATTTAGTGCCTGTTTATTTTAGGTTGCACACCTAAAAGCATTTTACGCTTCAACCTCATTGCCAGACCAACCCTTAGCTGGAGGGAAAATATTAATTACCAGCCTTCAAATTGTACTGATTGTTAATCACAATAAAAACAAAGAAGGAATGGATCTGCAGTGATACTGTTTTTTGATGCAGAGAAGAGTATTATTTTTCTATTTCGATGTAAAGTTTGCAATTACAGTTATAATGCTCTTGGTTTGATCCTCATAGTATTTTTACATGTAATAGATAACAAGTGACTGGTTTTGTGGGCAGGTTTTACAACAGCAGACTGAAGCTATTGCAAGGCTTGGCAACGTGTTGAAGCGAGACAACAGGGACATGGAAATTATGATGGCCGAGGGCACAGAAATGCAGAATAATTGAGCTAGAGATACAAGGAGCACTTGCTGATTAATTCCTTGACAAGAGTTAGCGAGTGATCTGTGATTAATTCAACTCTGACAAGAGTTGTCATAAACCATACTCAAATTCTCCCCCTACATCTTCGCTATCCCCTCCTCATCAATCCTTGATGGCTTAAATTTGCTAGGGGGGCTGTTTGTGAAATCAGCATCGGGAGTGATGGTGTCATCACCAAATGAATCATGTCAGCTGCCACTCAATCGTTGAGGGGGATTCAATTGATCAACAGACGGTAAAGCTCACTCCCATGGGAGCTAGGGCCTGAAGGAGTTTCCCTAATAGGGCTCTTTATCTCGTGGATTGTTAAGAATAGTTTGTAGTTCAACCATGTGCTTGTTTAGTGTAATGTGATTGATGCTTTTGTGAAGGATTGCAAGGTCAGGAGTTGCTTTATCATGTCTCCCGTGCCAACAGTAGCTGGTCATCTCTCTCCCTGCATCCACATAGACAAATCACTCAAAGCAAGCACCTTGCATTTAAAAGTACGTGTTTATACACCTCCCAGCGTGTCAGCACCTTGAAAGAAAATTTCAATATTTGGAAAGTCATGGGCTTATATTTATCTTTTCCTTTATATCAACAGCTAAACTGAGCAGCAATTTTAATGAAGCTTGTAATTGATGTAGTTGCCTGGGTAGCGGATAAAGCAAAGAACAAACCCTGGAGCCAACCGTTTGTAGATGTATGCTAAATCTCTCGTGATTTGACAGCTAGTTTTTCTTACAATTACACTTGTACGAACCCCAGCTGCTTAAACCTATTTGGAACGCTGACATAAATTAATGGCTTTAAGATGATGAAATTACCTTTCTGCGTAGTGTGGAACCACTGGAACCAAGCTTCCAAGCGAACAAAAAGCCCGTTCATTCTAGGATGGGAGTGATCTCATTGCTTTCAGCGGCGGTGAACTTGCTTTTCGCCATCCCATCAAATAGATCTAGAAATGGCAAAATTTCATCCCACATTTGCAATCATCTTCTTACAAATTGATCACAAGAGAACACTTGCCAAATAATTTAAGCTTTGGCAAAAATCTGAAAGAAAGCGCACATCATATATTATAAGATGATAAAAATAACTTGTCTGAACAACCCCAGAATTTAGTATACGAGACAAGTTTCTTCATTGTTGCAGGATTTGTACCTTTAAGGATGATGACTTCCCACTAAATCAGAAGAATTTTCTTGACATTTAGAAGGATGGGTGTTGGTCTCTTCGAATTACACATCTACTTATGACTTGCAGAGCTGAAGTCATTCTATCACACAATAAAGAAGCATGCAAATTTTGTACCATAAAGTGGTATGAACATCAAAATGAAATCTCAGGAAGCCTTACCACAAAAATAGGGTGGGGGGATTTCCATTGGTTCGGCGCTGAACAACAAATTCCTCTGGAACCTTGTTGCAATTACAGCAGAAAAGACACTGCAGAATTTCTTCAAGGATGAATCTGGCAAATAATTTTAAGATTTTTTTCAAGAAGCCAGCCAAGCTCTAAGGTTAAAATTCAATTAAAAAACATGAACAATACATTCACAATACCTTAGAGCTTCAGAACCCAAAATTTGCTCACGTGGAATCCGTCCATCAATGTTCATTAAATCTAACCAGTGGCCAAAAATATCCACACATATTCGGATATCCCAACGCCTGCTCATGCCTGCAAAAACATGTTTGGTTAGCCTGACAACAGCACATATAGTAACTCCATAATGTAACTGGAAATTAGACCTGACCAGATTGACAGTTGATGAAAACCTTCATTCCATGAAAATCCCCTAGGAAAGAATGGTCAGCCTGGAACAGCCGTATACAGCTCAGCTGGCCAATATGAAATAAAATTATTATAGCTGCAAGGAAAATGGCCAACTGTATGACTTTGTCAGACACGAAAAATGATGACAAGTAAATCATACATAAAAAAAAAAAACAGTTAGATGAATTGTGAAAGCTGAAAAACATCACTTTAACTAGATAGGAGTAGAAGATAGAGAGCTCCTAGCATCTAATGAACTGATATAGATAATGCTCGCTCATTATTTGACATTTCTTTCTTATTATCCGTCCACACACAACAGGAACATGAAATCCTTACTGCAAAGACATGAAATAATTTAAAGGGAGACATCCCACTAAGCTCACATGCTTGGGTACTTCGAATTTATCTCGGGATCAATTGACTGGAAAGATTCCTGACAAGATTGGAAGCCTACATCTGTCAGAAACTGTTGATCTCTCAAACAATCATCTTTCAGGCCTTATTCCTCCAAGCATGTCTTCCATGACTTTCTTGAATCACCTGAATTAGTCCTCCAATAACTTATCAGGACCAATTCCATCAACCAACCAATTCCAAACCTTCAATGATCCATCTATATATATATATATATATATATGACTTTGCGGGTCTCCATTACCAACCAAATGTTCGAGGCCTAGTAATGAAGCAACAGAAATCAAGAATGATGAGGTCAAGGAAGAAGATGATTGTGAAATGCCGTGGGGTTTCGGGTTGTTTATGGGACATAATTAACGAAGAAGTCTTGGAGACATGCCTATGAATTTCCAGTTCATAGAGGAAATGAAAGAAAAAATCTATGTGGCCATTCCTTGATCATTGAAGAGCATATATCCTGATGTCAACTTCATTACCTACTCACAATGCAAGTCCAATAACTCTAACAAGTCCAATAACTCTAACTCCGTTTTTCTATTTGATAATAATCTGAGCTCTGGCTCCATATCAATCCATTCTTTAAGGCCTCGGTCAATTCCAGGACCACCACGGTAGATCAATCCATCTTTCAGTCGTCATACCTTTGCCAAGAAATTAAATTGGCTCGGTAGCTAGTCGAATAGTACTGTCTGTATAAAAATGTTATTAATTCTGTACCATGAACTCAACATGGTGTTTGTCCAAACCATCAAGCAAATGAGAATCTGCAGAAATTATAGCAAATTCGGAGGAATAGGGTAGGAAGATTCCCTTTGCTTTCATAGAGTCCAAACCACCAAGCAAATGAGAATCTGCAAAAATGGTAGCAAATTCAGAGGACTAGGGTAGGGAAGGATCACTTTGGTTCCATGTAGTCTAGACTAGACAGATTTAAAAAGACATTATCATAAAACCTATGTCACCTAATTCCTTGATGATGTTCACTGAAAGTTCAGTTGTCATTTTTTATATTCACTCTAGTTTTCTCGTTTGCTGAAACCAAAGATCAGACAACCTATTTTTATCTTCTCTATAGCTATTGAAATGAATTATTTTCTTTTTTCCCTGACCTTTTGATTTTCTTTTTTCTTTTTCTAGATGCATTTGTTCTTTTCAAAAGCCATTCTTTAGGTTTAGCATATCAAAGATGCCTGCTAGATTGCTGTGATTAATCAAAGATTACAAGTAGACTGTAGATAATTGAATATACAATAAGAAGAACAAAGAAAATGTGTGGTTGATAGATTCAAATGCACTTGACCGAAAAGAATGAGTACGAAGTCCCACTTGTTTCCTGCTTAAATAGAATCAGGACCTCCAAATCTACCGTGTAACAATCTATCTGGCAGGATTCCTACCTCCATGTGGCTATCATCGTCTCTAATCTAGCTAGAGTTGAGAAATAACAATCTTTATGGTGAGCTTTCCTCAACCTTACAGAATTGCACAGGCTTGTTTGCACTTGATCTCGGAGGAAATAAATTCTTTGGGGCCATACCAAATCTGTTCGCTAAAAACCCTTTATATGTTGGTTGGAAATGTTCCTGAAACTCCGTGTGACCTCTCCAGTGTACAC